TCTGACCCGCGGCGCCTACCTCAGCCATGGCCAGACTCCCTAGAGAACGAAGGCAGGAACTGGTCCGATCTTTCCCCCTCACCGGGAGGCTTCTCCCAAAGCGCTTCTCCCGATGGTGGGGGAGAAAACCGGATAATCCGTTCCTATTGGAACGGATTATCCGGTTTTCAATGCATCTCTATGGGAAAACGCGTTTCACTTAGCGATGTTTTCCCATAGCGATGTTTTTTGTGGAACCAATTAAAATCGGTAAGCAAGGCACCACTGTAATTAAATATGCAAGTTGGTTGCAGCTGTGCACAGGAGGAAGGCATAGAGGAACTGTGAGCATTAACAAAATATCTGATTTTTTTTAGAAGTGGAAGAAAAGCAAAGGGATGGCTTCTGGTTTAATTGTTCTTGGGCCTAAATCCAGTTAACCCCTCACAACAGTTTCTATTTCATATATACACATTAGAGATGGGCATGACTTAAGTCAGTTGGAGGTGACGAAATTTGTCGGTGCGGCATCACAAATGCCATATATTCCCTCCCTCCTCACAGAGCCGACTGTCCCACTCACAAGCATCTGTGCATCTTCTTGGTCATCCTCCTTCACCAGCTGTCCTGTCCAGGAAGGAGCTCCGGCTTCCTTTTCACACCTCCTTTGGCTTGTGACCTCCCCCGCCTCCTCATCTGAGTGTCGGCTATTGGGGGAGGTAGAGAAGGGAAGCTCGAGCTCCTTCCTGGAGTAGGCAGCCAGCAAAGGAGGACGACTCAGGCAGCAGACAGAGGCTTGTAAGTGGGGCAGCCATTGACAGTCCTGATCCCAGCAGCAGTGATCCAGTGGTGACTTTTGACCATTAAGGGGTCCACTGTCCCAACACTCTCAAAGGTTTCTTTAGGAAAAAGGGGAGTCCTAGGGCATTAAATTCTGCCAGTGCCAGCTCATAACACTGATGACATCATCACCGTCTGTCGGCATAAATGCATGCAATAGGATTTTGCTCAATAAGTTGCCTTACTCTGACACCTATTATTCTGTTTTATATACTTTGATTTGCCACTGTTCTCCACAGCAAAGTTCTTTTCTAATCAGCCTATTAAGATGCTTTCATTGGAGATACCAGGGGATCTAGCTAAGATCTTATGCATGTGTTCTGCCATATACATATGTAAAACATATACTGTACATGTAAAATTAAAATAAAAGAAATGAGAATGTTTTCTGCTCCAAATTTATTCTTACCACCATAAGGTAGATCTCATAAAGGAGACTTCAGTTTCAACTCATGTCAGTGGAGAAAAGAGCTCTTATATTTCACAATTTGTAACCTACCAAAGTTGGTTTGTATACTATATGTTCTGCTACTGTGTGGTTGTACTTAAGCATATTGGCATATTCTTTATCACATAGAGGAATGTTCACCAGGATATGAGGATGTGCTCTTTTGTATTTTTGAACTGCGACCCCTAGAATTCTCCAGGATTTCCCCCGGGAGAATTCTAGGAGATACAGCCCAGCAATACAGGTCTACGGACCAGCTTTCCAGTTATTTACCTCTACAGTGGACCCTCGACTTACAGACGGCTCGACTTACAGACTTTTCGAGTTACAGACTTCTCTGGCTGCAAAATTTAGATTCGACTTGCAGCCAGAGAATTGACTTACAGACCAGAAAAAAACCAAAATGGAATAAAAATAGAATAAAAACCACTGGTTATGGGATTAATCGGTTTTCAGTGCATTGTAGTTCAATGGAGATTCGACTTACAGACTTTTCGACTTGCAGCCACCATTCCAATACGGATTAATTCCTTAAGTAGAGGGTCCAAGTATTGTTGCCTTCTGTGACCTGTTTCTGCATTCAAAAACAAGGAAGCTATGATGCTGCTACCTGGGAGTGGTAAGTCTTCCTGGGAGTCACAGTTCTTTGAAAGTTGCCCTCTAGAGTAGATAACAGGGAGCAAGACTGACTTCCATGTCCTCTGAACCCAGAAGGGCCTAATCCCACTGGCTGATCATATGACAGAAGGGTGGTTGACTGACTAGCAAGGATGGGTCCTCCTGGGTATGGAGAATGCTGGAAGCCATATTCTTGTTTCCCATTAGGCTCTCCAGAGGGCAACTCCCCAAAACCTACAACTCCCAGAAAGACCTATGACAGCCAGGTAGCACCGTGTCAGCTTTTTTTTTTTTTAAAGTAGAACAGTCCAGAGAAGGCAGCACCAGAGATAAATAATCAGAAGGCGGGGCTGCATCTCTTAGAAGAGCACACCCCATCACCAAAAGGAAAAATATGAACATTTTCTTCTGATCTTGTAAACAGGGCTAGTTTGCAACTTCTAGGCAGGTAAAATAACTGGTTCTGCTTAAAGAGGTGTCATTTTTCATTTCTTCTAGGAGAATGCAGCTGGTGACAGACAGCGATTCTACACGGACATGTCCTGTCCAGTGTGTCTACAACAGGCTGCATTTCCCATTGAAACAAACTGCGGACATCTTTTCTGTGGTATGCAAAACAAAACATTATTCTATATCATTTTTTGCATTCCATCAGACTGGTAGGATGAGCTAAACAAGTACTGTGCAGACAAAGGGCACCTTTGATAATGAGGATTGATTTACAGAGGCCTTGCATTCCACTTTTGTTGCTTTTGTTCAGCTGACTGTCTCTATTTGATACCAGCTGTTTCTGATATGTATACCATGACTTTTTAAAATTAGACTGATATCTCCTATAACATTTGGCTTAGTAAATATGTTGCAGTTATGTTCCCTTAGTCCATTTCTAACTTTGTGCAATTTTATATGTTTTTGCACAAGACAAGCACAGCAAGTCTTTTGATGCCAGTTTTGTAGGACAAATTAGGCATTATTCATGTTTCAGTGGGTTATGGTATAAAATTTATAGCAGAAGAGGCCAACTGCAGTCCTCCAGATGCTTCTGAACTGCAGCTCCCATGGTCCCTCACCATTGGCTATGTTGGCTTGATTGATGGGATTTGAGACTAATGATATCTGGAGGGCCACAGTTGCCCACCGCCATTTAGATAGAACACCTATTTCCATGTTTATAATGAGTTCTGAAGACACTGCTTTGCACTAATGATTTAGTCTTAATAGTAAATTGGTCCTATCTCCTCCACCCTTAGATAATATCACTTTTGAGATGCTTTACCATTTTGATCAGCTGTACAATGTCTTTATGTATTGGCTTGTGTTTGGATTCAGTCCACTTATGTACATAGCTCTAATGATGTTATTATTTTGTTTAGGTCCCTGCATTATTGCATATTGGAGGTGTGGATCATGGCTAGGTGCAATACATTGCCCCATCTGCAGACAGACGGTAATAAGTGGCTAGTCTGATAATTGTCAATTATGTCAGTAAGCTGATAGTCTGATATCAAGTTGTAATTCTGCAGATATTAGCCTGTTATTTTTGTTAAGTACAGTGGGAGTGTGATGGATTTTAAGATTGAAGATTTATCTTGAAATTTCAAGGGAAGTTTAGAAAGTCCCATTACCACTTTATAACATATTGCTTTAAATCTAATGCAGGAGATCATTTTACATTATGAATCACAAATCAGTCATTATATTAATCTCTCTGGCAGAAACAACTAAAACTCTCATACTGTCATCACACATTTATTGTGAAAATGTTTTAACAACAACAACCTTAGAAATGTAGAGCTGGAAGGGACCCTGAGGGTAATCAAGTCAAGGAGACACAGTGGGGAATCAAACTTCCAATCTCTGTCACTGCAAGCCAAATGCCTAAATCACTAAGCGGTCCAGTAGTTCTCCAGATTAGAGCAATACTGAACAGAACTTAAACAATATGAACAGCCCCCAATTGTTACGAGTATAGCATTTACAGCACTTCCTCATTTAGATAATAATTAGAGATGAGGGTATTCATATATGAATAGGAATATCCCTGCACGGTGGAAATAACGAGGGTCTGTCCACTCACAATTTCTATGTTAACGACGGCTCTACAGGTATTCTAAGTTGCACATGGAGTCAGACAATTCAGTATGCAACAGATAATCTCTGTGGTTATTTTCTAACTTTAGGCAATTCACCTCCAAATACACTGTGTTTCACTAATATAACTAGGGAAGAAGATTTGGGCCAATGACTTTTAAGCCTTTTTCTTTTAACTTTGCACTTAAATGTCTATAAAGACACACTGTATTTTGTCTTTGGATTCAGCTTCCTACTTGTTTGGACTGTAAATAAGTGCTACTATTCTGTCATTGTCTGGCAAGTGTTTCAAGGCATAACAGTTCATCCTGCTTTGCATTGTTAGAAAGTTTTACATGCTGAGATTTCTTTAAATATAGCTCAGGAACTTCAAAAACAGGCCAAGTAGACATTTGTTAACTTGTTCTGGCCAGTAAAATAATATTGATCCAATAACGTATGATCTGCTGTGGCAGGACGCTTGTCTCCAGGGATAATTTAAAATAAAGAGTTTTAATCTGTAAAGCCCTAGTTGATTTACCAAGTTACCTTATGGGGCCTTACCTTCCTTGTGTATCTTTCTGGACCATCAGGTCATGTTACCTCTAGTTCATTCTGAGTGCCTCCACCAAACGAGGCAAGGCAGGTGCCTGAAACAGCATTGTGATTCCCACCTGTAGAACAGCCTCCCTGAAGATCCTTGTCTGCTGCACTGTTCAGTAGCAGATGATGATATTTGTATTTTGTCCAAGTGTTTATACATTTCTATGCTTTAAATCTCTGCACTGTTATTTATTCTTTTGGTTTTTACTCCTTTTTTATTTATCTTGCATTTATTATTTTAGTTTGGATAAGATCATCCATAAAACTGCTGTTACTATTTAAAATATTAAAAAAAATAAACTTCAATTTTATTTGAACTCGTCCATGATTAGGATGCAGGAATGGGCTTCCAGTGGTGTAACAATATATTCCAGTTAAATCTCCCTCCCTCCCTCTCCCTTCTCATGCATCCTCAGAAACAGCTCTGAAAGGCTAGAAAACTCTTTATTTCCAGGTAGGTTTTATTGCAGGGAGGAGAATAATTCCAATCACGTAACAGTAGCTGCAGCCTAGTATGAATAACCTTATGGTCGTAGAAGAGGCCTGTCAGGATAATCTCTAAAGTGTGTCCATCTGAGCACAAGGTTATATAAGTATGTGTAGTTCTATTTTTTCTCTTTTGCATCTTTTTTTCTGTCATGTTTTGTTATTGTTTGGATACTTTTTTATTGTGTTTGTTATTAATAAAAGTTCTATTTTTTTAAAAAAGAAACTGTGCTAACGAGTATATCATTAGTTGAACTGCTTCTTTCGATGTACAGTGTTCCGACTTTTAAAACTACAGTATTTTGCAAGTACTAAATGTGAGGTCTTCCATTGTCTTCAGGTAACATTGTTTTTACCACTCTTCAGTGAGAGGCAAGAGAATGCTGCACAGGTACTTCAGGATGTCACTGATTACAACAGGAGATTCTCAGGACAGCCGAGATCGGTAAGTTTTTTCGTTGAGAGAAGGAGACTTCTACATCCCCATTCAATGTGGCAGAGGCTGCTCTTCCCTGCAGTGAACATGACATCTTCCTGCCTTGGGACCTTAAGAAGGGAATAAATGGTCGACTCAGTGCAGTTGCATACAGCACCCCAGATACACAGTCCCTCTTCTTGTCCCCAAGTCCATGCCTCTGGGGAGGATTGAACATTAAGGCTTTCATGGCATTTGGATGCTGTAATAGAACAGAGTTAAAACGACAAGTTCTCATCTTCCTCTCTGTCTCTGGAGAGGAAGGCTAGGACGTATCTTTCTGCAACTATGCTTTGAAGGCAAGCCCAGTTCTTCTTGCTTTAGAAATGGAGATGAGCTAAAATTGTGTCTACGTTGTGCTAGGGAAGTGAATCTATGCAGCTAATGTACATAATGTGCTGTAGGTCCAGGCAGAAAAGGAACATTACATTATATTTCTTTCTTTCTTTCTTTCTTGCTTTCTTTCTTTCTTTCTTGCTTTCTTTCTTTCTTTCTTGCTTTCTTTCTTTCTTTCTTGCTTTCTTTCTTTCTTTCTTGCTTTCTTTCTTTCTTTCTTGCTTTCTTTCTTTCTTTCCCTTCCTTCCTTCCTCCCTCCCTCCCTCCCTTTCTGCAGCTCATACAGTAGATCTCCTCACAGTTGTATATATATTCTTTATAAACAGTGCTACTCCTCCCTGTTTAGTCTATTCCTTTTGAATAAATTATATCCTTTAATTACTGCATTCTAATCATTAGTCTCATCTGACCAGCTTTCCATAATGCCTGTGACATCATATTTACCTTCAAGTGTCAGGAAAGCAAGTTCATCTTGTTTGTTTTCCATACTGTTTGCATTCATATAGAGACACTTCCTGCAGGTGCTTCCTTATAATCTTTTCCAGTCTATTGATGGGTTCCTGTTCTAGTGTACCACTAATACAATTTCTGGTGCATCGCTGATGCTCTTATCCTCAGTACAGTGGTGCCTCGCACAACGATTGCTTCATACAACGATGAATTCACACAGCGATGGGTTTCTTTGAGGAATTTCCCCCATCGTTTAACGATGTTCTCTATGGGGGAATTTCACTTAACGATGTCCCTTTTTCGCTCCTGTAAAAGTGTCTTAAACTGTTAGAAACCTGTTTTAAATGCTTGGAATCGTTAGCCCACCTCCTGAACCCTATGCAGACTTAATTTGGTGTTGTTCTGAGTCGTTGTTAATTTTTGGTGATTTTTTAAATTCTCCATTGAAAGCCTTTGAATGGTCCGTTCAAAGGCTTTCAAAGGAGAATTTAAAAAATCACCAAAAATTAACGACTCAGAACAACATCAAATTAAGGTTGCATAGGGTTCAGGAGATGGGCTAACGATTGCAAGCATTTAAAACAGGTTCCAAACATTGTAAGACACTTAAAAATGAGCGAAAACGGACATCGGAAAGCCGGCTTCAGTGCCTTTGAAGCTCTTCCATTTTCGCTCATTTTTAAGTGTCTTACAATGTTTGGAACATGTTTTAAATGCTTGCAATCGTTAGCCCACCTCCTGAACCCTATGCACACTTAATTTGGTGTTGTTCTGAGTCGTCGTTAATTTTTGATGATTTTTTGTTTTTCCCTCATTGAACTCTATTGAACTGTCCATCCAATGCATTTCAATGAGAGAGAAAAAAAATCACCAAAAATTAACGACGACTCAGAACAACACCAAATTAAGTTTGCATAGGTTTCAGGAGGTGGGCTAATGATTGCAAGCATTAATCTGTTCCAATTGGAACAGATTAACCGGTTTTCAATGCATTCCTATGGGAAATGGTGTTTCACTTAACAATGTTTTCACATAACGATTTTTTTATGGAACCAATTAACATCGTTAAGCGAGGCACCACTGTATTTGGTATTTATCTGTCCCTTTCAAGCACTATCTCCCTGCCCTGCAGAATTCAGTTCAAAGCCTTCCTGAAAAGTCTTGCAAGATTTCTAGCAAACACATTATTTTCAGTCCGTATAAGGTACAATGTGCCTGATTTGCTCTTTCATGGAAACACAGATCACAATCCAAAGAAGCCAAACCTTTCCCAATGATACCATCTGCACAACCAGTTGTTTATTTCCAGAATTCTTGGCTTCCCTTTCTGGACCACAGCCATTAACAAGACAGACAGGCGGAGGTGGAGGAGACCTGTACTCCAGGGTCTTTCATCTTCCAACCAAAACTCATAGTCACTTGAAACAGATTGAAAGTATTGCAGGATTCCTGGCAGCATCTTTTGTTCCTACATGGATCAGAGGGAAAGGACTGACAGCCGGTGGACACCGAGAGACTCGGGAAGCTCTCTGTCACACGCTGTGTCTTTGTCCCAGAGAACGGTGCCTCTCCTGAGACATCCTGTCAAGTCCACAAACTGGTGCCTCTGTTTGCCTTAGCAGGGAGTCATCCATCACAACCCCATGTCCCCTTCTCTTCTGGCAGGTGGCAAGATGTCACTGATTAAAACAGGAGATCTCCCATGGCCACTTCCACACTCTTTTCTGTTTGCTGCTCTTGTTCTAGCAGCTCAGGTTCCCTCTCTGTGGGCACCTAATATTAATTCTGTAGCTCCAAAGACACAGCAGAGTTCCCGATAACAGCCCTGCTTCTGTGTGTCACATTCCTTCAGGTCCTACACTTACTATTCTTCTTTCCTAGAGGTATTCCTTTACCACTCCCACCCGCACTGTTCTTTCAGTAGAGTCTGCTTTCCTCTTTCCAAAGACAGCCTTTTTTTCCCTGATGAAAAGTATGGATCGGTGGGCTTCAAGGTCCTGCATGTTCTTTTTTAGCAAACACTTTGCATTTGTTGCAGATGTTGTTTTGTGCATTGTCAGGCAGCAGGAGGAATGTGTCACACTGCAAAAGCTACTTTTCCACCTCTCTGAAACAATATTTCTGTGCTTCTCAAATTGCCTTACTGGACATCCACACGAAATGTCCATTGTCTCACCTGTTCACAATCTAGCTCTAGCCCGGCAGCTGAGAGTTCTTTCCGCAGTCAAGTTAGTGACTCACTTCCTCCCAGCACTCACTTTCTCAATGCTGTAGCCCCTCTTCCTAGCCTTGTGCTTGGTGCAGAGCACATGGCTGCAGTCAACCAAAGGGCCATAAACAGAGTTCTAAATAGTTCAGGTAAATAATCAGACTCAAGCTAACAGACACAGCTTCATTCTTTTGTCACTTCCACCAATCCCATGCATAATGCCCAGTTTTCCTACCCTGTTCACGTGTATTTTCTGCAGAAAGTACACAGGAGGCATTTTGATTATTTAGAACTAAAGCAATGTAAAAATATCAAAGACTATCCAGTTGGTCACAAATAGAGCGAACTGATGGAATCAGTAGGACTTGCATTACTTAACAAGACCCATCTATCTATCTATCTATCTATCTATCTATCTATCTATCTATCTATCTATCTATCTATCTATCTATCTATCTATCTATCTATCTATCTATCTATCTATCTATCTATCTATCTATCTATCTATCTTCTATCTATCTATCTATCTATCTATTTATTTATTCATACCCCGCCTATCTAGTCATTTCGACCATTCTAGGCGGCTTACAACATAAAAGATAACAAGTTCAAGAAAAATTTATAACAATTAATTAATTAAATGATTCTGCAAGATGGGAAAAACACAAAATAAATTAAATAAAGAGAAAAAGAATAAAAAAGGAAAGAGGACAGGAATTAACTGGAAGGGAAGGCCTGCCTATACATCCACGTTTTTAGTTGGTTCTTAAAAGTACCCACTTTGGTGTCTAATAATAGGATTTAGTTAATTTAACTTTGCTCTTGTTTAACCTTGTATTTCTGTTCTAAATAGGTTTGGATACAGGTTATTAGTTTTAAACTGTTTAAAATCCAAAGGAAAGGTGTCATGAGCATACTCTGAGCTAAAATTACTACACTTTATCCAACCTTAAAATTTTTGTTTACTGCCATTGGCTTCTAGTACGTGTATTCATAATTCTTTGTTGTAAATGGTAAAAAATTAACAATTTGGTAGTAGCCCCCTGTGATAAACATGTATTGCATGTAACATAAATCTAAAATTGATTTTTTTTATCTTCTTTAGATTATGGAAAGGATTATGGATTTGCCCACTTTACTGCGTCATGCATTCAGAGAAATGTTTTCTGTTGGAGGTCTCTTCTGGATGTTCCGCATCAGAATATTCCTCTGTCTTTTGGGAGCTTTGTTGTATCTGGCATCGCCTCTGGATTTTCTACCTGAAGCACTGTTTGGAATTCTGGGATTTTTAGATGATTTCTTTGTGGTTTTCCTGCTCCTTATATACATATCCATCATGTACCGAGAGGTTGTAACACAGAGGCTCAATAGATGAAGGCAAGTGTCGGTGACCAATGTTCAGGAACATTCAGGGGGACACTTAACTAAATGACCTACTGTGACGAAAACTATATCGACACACTTTCAGTTTCTGCTATTAAATCACTTCTAGCCAAACATGTTTTGCAGGCATGAGGAATTGAAATAATGGTGATTAGTGAACTGGAATTACTAATGTGCGTTATAGAAAAAAGATTTAATTGAAGATATAATACATGCCTACTTATGTTTACAAAATATGAATGCTTGTATGGCCTTCGAGGTGCCACCGGTTGCAAAAGGGAATTTCTTTAAGAATATGCTTTTTAAAAGTATTTGAATGATTGTGCTGGACATGCACGTAAAGCACTGTTCAATGTATAATTTCGTATTCAGTGTGCAGTTTGAAAGGCTGCTCCATGTGGGTTTTGAGGTGGGAAGGTGGGTTTTTTTAGCAAAGTAATTTAGTATCTGCTAGTGCAGGAAGTGCTCAAGTGATACAGTTGTCACGATAAGCTTGGGCTGCAACATATCTCTGCACGCATTCTGTAAGTGCAATATTGCTTCAGCTCTGTAAAATTCCATGAATTTATCCCCATACTGTTTTTCTGCAAAGGAATGTGCACTGTCCTTTGGGGAGAGAGATCTTAAATGCCAGCAGTCTATGGTTAATGACAGTATGTGTTTAGATTTTGAACCGCAAGGTTCAGTGTTTCATTGGAGAGAGATGAAAAGCTAACCTAGGTTAATGAGTTGACATGGATATGCTACAGAGATGGGGAATCTACAGACTTGTCAAGTACAGAGGGCCGAGAACGTGACCTATCATACTTCACCAGGCTGACTAGGGCTGCAATAAACTGGATTCTGACAGTGTCTGGAGGGTCACATGTTCCCCCAGCCCTGATAAAACATTGGGATGCAAAGGGAAACAAAATGTTGACCTCAAATTGTCATAGGGCTTCCCTGATCATGTGAAATATTAAATAAAATGTTAGCCAGGATTCATGCAGAAACTAGCTGAAATCTAAAATTGAATTTCACCGTGAATATACTTGAGGGAATATCTGGTAATGAGGACCATGGATGTCTGAGGAATATTCTTAAGAAAACCTTATGCATGATTGCTTAGGAGTAAGCCTCATTTGAACAAAAGGACTTGCTTCTGAGTATTTATTCATAGAACAAGATTCCATTACTCCTGGTGTACACTCCATAGTGGTCCTGAATTACTATGAAATCATTATTTGAACTGTTTACTCTGACATTGAAATGGAGAAAAGAGTTGAAGAGAAGTGAGAGAATGGTTGATGCCATTGTGTTTCAGATGCAAGTGGGGACACATGAACTATATTGCACATGTGTACGGAGACACACAAGTTCAGGGCATGGGCCATCAGTGAACACTTTCTTGCCCTTTGGACATATAATAAACAATCACGCCAATGCACGGAATACCCTAGGAAAAGAGGGAATAGGGCTATAAATACTTGAATATTAAAGGGTGCTATGTACAAGGCTTACAAAACATATTCTCAAAATGTATAGAATAGGTATGGGGACTTGTGACCGGTCTTTATGAAATGTCTGCTCCCATAACCAACCATAAATAACTGCTTCAATCTTGCTGGGCCAACTCCTACTTTCAGTATTTAAAGGAGAAGTAATGATTGTACTGCTTCATGTTCAAAAGAGTTAAAAGGTTTTTAACAGGCTGTTCTGGTGAAGGTGAAAGTGTTATGGTAGAAATATCGAGTTGCTTACTTAATCTTCCTCTCTGGTACAAAATCTTGATGGCAGGCTTAATTATAGTAATATTTTACACTGGCACTGGTTTTCACAGTGGCTAGTATTAACTATGGTTTTATTCTGACCATCTTTGACCCTTGGTTTTGACTACTGTTTTGATGGAAAAACCTGACTAGCAGTAACCTGGGTTTGAGTTCAATGCCAGTATATCTTTAAACTGTGGCCCATCATGAAATATATTCATCTCACAGGAAAGGACTGTGAGATGTTGCATTCTGGTATCAGTCATGTTGTCACCATGATTGGCGAGGGTGAGCAGTCTGTGCACTCATTTTCTAACATTAGCATTACAATGAAAACAACAGCATGTCATTCAGTTGGATGAAGTTATTGCCAAAGAATATTCATAAGCCACTTACTAACAGTTATATTTTTCTCCTATTAAAAATGCAATATGTATGTATTCCTAAAAAGGACCTGTTCTGAAATCTTTTTTGTCATCCATGCATCCATTTCAACAAAAAGAATCCTGTGTGCCAAAATTGACATATTAACATATCCATATATACATGTTACATGCATTCGAATAATACTTTTTGTACGGTGGGTACAAAAGCCTTTGTTCTCTTCTGAATGACTTTTGTATGAATTAGGCCCAGCTTCTCTTAAAAATGTGTACCTGTTTTCATTCTCATAAATGTTAGATATTTCTGTAAATTCAGTCTAACATCTCCAAAAACATGGCTGGAAATGTTCCAATGAGTAGCACAATCTGAGGCTTCTATTATTTGATCTGAATCTTTTTTCCCCATAAAGAGAAGGAACAAATGGCCATTTAAAGCAGCCATTCTTAACCTTTTTTTTTTGCCCACGCATAAACACAATGTGAAAGAAATATAGGCTGAAGCAGGATTGTAGTAAGTCCTGATTAATGAACCTTATAAGGTGATGTGTGAAGAATTGTTTACAAACTGTGGCCCCCCTCAAGTGTGCCAGCCCCAGGGAGCCATATGTCCCCCCCCTTGAAACGTCCCCCCCCTTGAGAAGGGCTGATTTAAAGAAACAAACTGTTCCTGAAATGCTTAATGATTTTTAAGGCTCCTTTTAATGTGCTTGCTCACCTTTTCATCCTGTCATCACTTATATGTGGTGATGATTGGTTGGCTACTTCAGGAGAATGCCAGCATGATGTCATTGTGTGAGTCTTACTTGATGTCTGGCCAATCCAAATCCTGACTAATGGGCAGTGAAAAAAGTACAAAGGCAGTACTGCATGTTAACTATAAAACTTCAGTAAAGTATATATGTTTACAGAGAGAACTTTGATACTTTTTCAGAAGCTCCCTATGTACATCTCAAAGAGCTGCCAAGAGCAAAGAGATAAAGTAAAACTCTTTTTTCTATTGCCATCTGTATTTTCTGGTGGCTGAATGCTTCTTTTATGCAGACATTTTGCTTTGCTTTCAGCTGATTAAAATAATTGAATTCTTTAGTAGCCTTAATACTCTGCTTTCTACTTATACTGGTAATATTTCTCATTTGAGTCTCATCACCATCAGTAGCATAGCTGTAGAGTCTCACAGATAGCATCAGCATAACCTTAGCACATATTTGTGTATTGTCTGTTTGTTGATGAATGGGGAATTAACATTATTTTTTTGTAAATATTTATTACAAACACCTACTCTTGGTGGAGATGATACAACTTCTAGGCTTGATTTGCTGGTGTGGATCAACACAGATGGCAGCAGTTTTTGGACTTTCCTTGGTGCCTAGGTGTGAAAACTCACAATGAGCACTTGCACTATCAAATTTACCCCCTCCCTTCTTCTGGAGATGCTCTGAAGCATGACCTCTGCAGATATTTCGTTCTTGCTGTCTGTATTCTGTACACCAGTGGTCCCCAACCTTGGGCCTCCAGATGTTCTTGGACTTCAACTCCCAGAAATCCTATCCAGCAGATGTGGTGGCGAAGGCTTCTGGGAGTTGTAGTTCAACAACATCTGGACGCCCAACATTGAGGACCACTGCTGTACACCACTTCTATAAATGTCTGTGATAATTCTTGCATCTCATAAAGACAGCATAAGTCCTCCTGATCTATGCTGTCATTGACCATAGCTTTTCTCCTGTGCATCTTCACACATCCTTCATTACTAGAGCGTTTTGCCTTTGAAGAGGATTCACATTCCAGTTCCCCCACTAAACTTCAATTTATGTACAATACTTACCGAACAGACACCTTTGCTAATTTTTACTGCTCGCTATAATTTTTTTAACAATTAAATAGTTCTTTTTAACAGTTGTCTTCACATCCAAATGATTCTAACATAGAAAGAATCCTATAATCTCAAAAGTTGTTGTCAACAAGGAACTGTGAAGAATAATTGCTTAATTTTATTTGCGCTTTTTCAAGCCTCTCTTGTACCGTGTTTCCCCGAAAATAAGACAGGGTCTTATATTAATTTTTGCTCCAAAAAAACTCATTAGGGCTTATTTTCAGGGGATGTTTTATTTTACAGTCATGTCATCTTCTAGTTGCTGCACAATGCTACAAAAAAGCTGGAGGGTGGGGTTTCACTTAACTAGGTCATATTTTTTGGGTAGGGCTTATATTACGAGCATCCTGAAAAATCATACTAGGGCTTATTTTCAGGTTAGGTCTTATTTTTCAGGGAAGCAGGGCACTATAACGGTACCTTGTCACCCAGAATTCCCACCAATGGGTGGTTTTTGGTGTAATAAACTCATTATCTAGTACACAAATTAATATCTGCATTGCCTATATATTTTAATATATCCCCTCAGAATGGCATCTGAGTGTTATCTGTTTCATTGATTTCCTATAGTAATTGTAGTCCATTATATGGAAGAACTTCAGCTCTACTGTGAGATGCAGTGTTAACAATCATAAGAGAAGTTTTCAGTTTTATTTCAATATATTAGGATTCCCATTTTTCTCTATTGATGTTTAAACTCTTTCCGGACCAGAACCCCTATGTTTTAAGACTTGGTCCAATAATAATTAACTGGATTAAATGAATCGTGGGTTTAGTGATGGCAGCTGTACTTTCTAGAAAGGTTTTCTGTGAAGACTTTGGCAAGAGAAAATATTTAAACTTTTTTCCAGTTTCCTAGCAAATGATATCTCTGATAAGTTATTAATGATTACATAATGCTTTCTAGTGCACACACATAATAGTAACACATTAAAGTAACCTTGACTCCTACTAATTCCTTTATTACAAATGCTGTGTAGGAACTGTTCTTACCGTTTACTTTAATATGAGAAAGAAATTAACTGCAATATTGTGCAGACTTATCTTGGAGTAAGTTCCATTTAAGACAAATAGATTTACCTCTGTGTAGACATGTTGAGGATTGTACACAGCTAATGACTCAACCTAGTGTGAAATGGCTGCCAATGATCTGTGGGGCTTTGGACTGCATGCTGCTATAGATCTTTTATACAAAACTATAAATCAGCTCTTGCTTTTACTAATAAACATTGTCTCAAACAAAAAATATTTTCTGCCATTTTATTTTTGTATGTAGGTGTCATTTTAGATTTTATTCCCTGCTGGGTGTTCAAAAGCATAAAAACACTGGCTGAAACCCTCTTCCGTAGATTAAGAAGCATATGGCTGATGATTTCATGGTGATTTTGGTTGGTTTTTTGTTTGTTTGTTTGTTTGTTTTGGGGGGGGGGAAATAAAACAGTCCTCCTCCCATAGGTCCTAAGACTAAGGTGGAATTCCTTTTGCTATAGGGAAGCCACTGGGTGCTATGGGAAGGGGTGAAGCCTCTGCTGCCGGGATAACTTTTCCAGGAGCAGTCATTTTTGCTAATTAAATACTTCCGCCTGTGAGCAGAAAACAATCTGCTGACAAAGTTCATGGGGCATGTTCTGAAACATCCCTTCCTGCCTCAAAGACGTGTAAGTGAATATCATTCTCATTCAAAGGTCTTGTGGGAATACCAGTCTCAGTTTCACAGAACTAATTTTCAGCATATGTGAACTGCCTCTCCATACTAATGTTTAGAAGAAGGATGCTCAAAACACTGCTTTTTAGAGAGACTTTCCACAATGACCCTGCTTGATGCCATGCCTCTTGCCCTGCTCTTACAGAGATGATGTGCTTCCCATGCTATTGATTTTAATTTTCAAACCATTTAAGCTCTTCACTGTTTAGTTATACCTTTATTATATGTATTTTATTATCTTGTGAACCTCCCAGAATAGAGCATTGCACTAATGGGATGGTAAATAAGTAAACAAACAAAAAATAAAGTAAAATTATTGGCCCCAATCCTGTTGCTTAGCTTACCTTTGAGTCTGCTCCTCTCTGATAAGAAAGGTATCCCCACCACAACTCAAGAAACATAGGCATGTGCTCACGAAGTCAAATTGTAACAGGGACAGTTGTTTACCTTGGAGGAATGGACTGAAAGTTATGATTCGGCTTAGACTAAGCAACAGGATTTCAGCCACTGTGTTGGAGAAATCTAGTTCAACCCCTTGCTTGGTGTAGGAAATAGAGAGCTACTTGAACAGATGGTGAGATGTCCATCGTCCTTCTAAATGAAACAGTTTTTGAATTTCTCTCACTGTCAACACGTTTCTTCAAAAGTTCAGCTGATCTCTTGTCCTGTAAATAATTTAACTGCATTAAACTGAGTTCTAATCTTGGAGCAGTTAAGAAGAGTCTCTGTCTTCTGTTGTATGATAGACTGCAATATTCCACACTGTAATATGTACTGTATAATATTGATTTGATAAGTTTGAAGGAGGTATGATATGATTATGTTTCCCAAAGGGGAAATAATTTTGAAATGTTAGGTAATACTGTAGACATTCATAGGAGAGGACTATAAGTGGATTTGGTCAGTATTAGAGTGGCCTCAGGGAAGAGAAGACACAAACCTGCCCCTTTAATAGTTGTACACTACAGTATCAATTTTGGCAGGTGTCATTTGTCAATTTAAGCTGCACCGCCTGAAGTTCCATCTTCCACAGAACAATCAAAGGTACCAGAGCCCTGTCCTCCCTTTCATGTGATCACTAAACCTCAGGCAAACCTACCTAAAAGGGTTCCTGGAAGGATATGGTGCTAATTCATATGAGCTGATCCAAGCTGCTTCGAGGGTGAATGAGACTAATAATATTATATTATCAGCTGAGTCCATTCAGGTAAGAAGCTCTTCGGAAACTGACAGCTGCCACAATTTTGTGACAGTTAAAGCAATCTCACTGTGTGCCATTGCAGCTAGAACATTTGGCTTTTCTTCTAACTGCGAGGGGGGGGGGATCCCAGTTCCCAACCTGATGCTGGTTGAGGGATGCTGGCAGTTTTAGTCCACAGATTCCCAAGCTCTGTGTCCTGCACGCATGTCTCTCTCTTACCCAATTAATTGCAGGGGGGGGAATTGTGAGTCACAGAAGCTCACCTCATCTCCACTCTCAAAAGGAACATTCCCCAACTCCTCAAACTTTTTTGAGAGGGGCCCCGGGGTGACAATATGGCTGTATTTTTCCCCTTCTTTCTTTTTTTCTTTTTTTAAAAAATGCAAGTTGTAATTATTATTTAAAGCAGATTCCATTTTATCTAAAAATGAAATGTTTGTGCCTTGTTTCATAAGGAGATGGTCTGTTTTTGCCTGGTGAACAGATGCTTAATTGGTGGCAGTTCAGGAGAGAGAAGAGAAAAGCAAGTGTGAACACTAATGGGATGGCTCATCACTGGGAGGTGACTAATGAGGAGTAGTGGGTTTATCAGGTGTTACTAATCGTTTGGCTCAAACCCCTTGGCACAGAAAGCTGTTGTGCTCCTCTCGGAACATATGCTGTGCTTCAGATATCAAACCTTATTTCTCCCACTCTTCCCTGCAAATTGAGGCTGCCATCAACAAACGGTTTGTGCTTGAGGGTTGCCAACTTACCAAGAAAAATAAAGCCCAGCCTGCTCTTTGGGCTTTGAACAGCAAGCTCAAAGGACAGAAAACAGCGCTTGAAGCCAATGGAGGAACAAGAAAGAAGAGCTGGGGCTGGGTGTGTGGTGGCCATATTGATGTGGCACTGCACTCACCTCTTCTGTTTCCTTCTGTCTGGGAAGTCAAAGTTCAGCTTCAATAATGCTGTCCTTAGCTCTAAATTCCATTAGGCATCCTTCAGTCTCGAAAGACTATGGTAGCGTGCTCTGTATGGAGGACTTGGAACAGCGTCTAGTGTGGCCGAGGAGGCCAATTCGAGAGAGACAATCCCTTCCACACTGGAGACAAATCCAATCTGTCCCCTGTCCAGCTCTCTGGTTTTGCTGCTTTTGTGACTTCCTCTTTGCCTCAGCCTGCTGGACAAGTGTCTCTTCAAATTGGGAGAGGCCGCGATGCAGTGCCTGCCTCCAGGCTGAACGCTCAGATGTCAGGGTTTCCCATCTGTTGAGGTCCATTCCTAAGGCCTTCAGATCCCACTTGCAGATGTCCTTGTATCGCAGCTGTGGTCTCCCTCTGGGGCAATTTCCCTGCATTAATTCTCCATACAGGAGGTCCTTTGGAATCCGACCATCAGTCATTCTCACGACGTGCCCAAGCCAACGTAGACGTATTAGTGTATAAAAACAAGGCATTCGGCTCCTAGGACCGTCTTCTTGGCTTGTCAGGCAGAGCTTGTGATAGACAAGGAATGCCCTAAATAAGAGTTCATGGCAAAGACATTTCCCCATTTCCACTTTGGGAAGAAACTTCTCCTTTAGGTAGGACCAGAATATTCTTCATGTCAGGACTGGAAGTGTGCAGAGTCACGAAACACCAGATTTGATGCCCAGGGGTTGGCTGGCCTACTGATTAAGCTTGGACATAGTTTGCATATGCAGGGAGAGGGCAGCAGAATGCGGGTGAAGGTTTGTGGTGGAGGACATAGTTCTCATCCCACCTTTATTGTCCTTCCTTCTGAGAATGAGTCTTCAAG